TCGACCACTTCATGCCATAAACGCCAGGGCAAATCAGGACAATAAAGCGTCCCAGGCCTGTCAACTCCCGTTTTCGCCATCTAATAATAGAGTAAAGGAAAGAAAACAAACAGAACACACCTGGACCCTTTCTCCTCCTAAGACAAATGAGAGACGAAATCAGGTGAACACCAACATCCAGCGAGTAAAGAGCCTATCGGTCGTTTTCCATGATCTGCAAAAACCTTCACACATTTGCCGGTCGCCGCGCCCAATTTTCATGGTATCCTTGAAAGAAAGCAGTGGTTCTCCGTCTCAAGATCGAGAAAAGCAAAAAAGGAAGGAATGCGCGGCATGGATTTGGTTTTTGGGGATTCTGATCGTTTTGTTTGCGCTCAGCCGCTATTATGAATTATTCCTCATGGCAGCGGCAGTTGAAGCTCATAGGGTGTAAGTCTGCATGTCCTGAAACATGTACATGTTGTCGGCGTAATCCATCGCTCCGGGATGGGCAGTCGGCATGCCCATGTGGGCAGACGGATCAAACATCATTGGTGGCGGTGCGGCGGTCGTCGGGTGATGTCGCGGCATCTGGTGTGCCCTCGCCTGAACGCCCCGGAGCTTGAGGTACTCGGCGTGTAATGCCGAGTAGGCCTGGCTGAGGGAGTCGTTCTTCTGCTTCTGCTCGGAGAGCATGACCTCGAGGTCCTTGATGCGCTGGTCCTTGCGCTCTCGATATGCCCGTTGTGATGCTCTGTTCTGTGCTCGGCGGCGCTGCGCGGGGAAGGGGGGGCACGTGTTAGTCGCGCTGCGCCTGAAGTTTGTTGCTCTCCCGCTCGCTCGCTCGCTCGGCGGCGAGCCCGCGGGATTCGGGCTGGGGAAAGTGTAAAAAAGCTTACCGAAAGCACGGAAGGCGGGGCATTCTTGTATCTGTTCTCACGCTTCCTCTTCGCTGGAGGTTTGGCGGTGGTGGCAGCGGCTTTCGGATCTGAAGCGGGCTGCGGTGATTCCGTGTCTCGCTGTGAGCTCATTGGGCTGGGGTAGATGCTGGTTTCTGTGGTATTGAAGTCGGGTACGAACGTCATATCGAACTTGACCAGTGTAAGCCGATGGAGATTTGCAGGTGCGGGGCAGGCCAACTTACATTCGATATGATGGGACTTGTGCTCTCGGATGAGCTAGCAGTGTCCAGATATTGCTCTGCCTCTTCGTAGCCGTAAGGCGCCTCCATCTCCAAGAACGCATCAATGTCGTCCAACATGTTGAGAGGAAGTGGGTGCTCCATTATAACAATTGAATGTCTGAGTGTCTTGTTTTCGTAGGCGGATGAAGGAGTAAACAGGCCGGCTGAATTGGTTTCTTGTGCGACGTCTGGGAAGCTCCAACTCTGGGGCAAGATTGGAAAGAAGGTATATATAAAAGTCGGTTTGGGCGACGAGGTGTCTGGCTGTGCGTCTGGAAGGTGCCGTGATGTGTAAGGCGATCTAAGCTACGCCACGGTGATTTGCAACGGGCCAGATGGAATTATATAAGGCGCGCGGCGCATGCGAAAGATGCACCACTCGACAGTCATGGCCGGGACAGGGAACATGTTCGGAGGGTTGGTAGGGGACCGCATCTACATCCACATCTGCATGTCCATGTGAAAGCTATGATTTCTGGTTCGTAACCACATAGGTAAGCAGCCTCTTCGCAGACATTCTCGAGGGGCCGCAACTGTACACAGCGGCAAAGCAACGATCCAGTCGACCGTTGACCCATTGGACCCCAGATAGCGCACCGCTATGTTGCTTAGAGTGCATGGCACCCCACCCCCTTGTTCCTGGCTGGTCCCTGATGTTCAAGGTTGCGTGATGGGGGGGACAGGAAGCAGGAGAAGAAGTCGCCCTCCCCGCCAATTTAGGCCTGGTCGAGAGCTTGTAGCGAGCATGGATTGGTGGTGCGGCAAGGGTAGAAGGAACGATTTGACCTGTCTTTGCTGCATGTTGCGCCAAGTCCCCGCCTTAAACGGGCTGCCATGTTGCAAGGGCCCCCGGCAAACGGAGTGTCGTGGGGATGGCGAACGGTACAGACAGACGGTGGTGATGAGGGGTTGATGAGCCGACGCGGCCCCGTTAAGCTTCGAAGCTGCTGTTGGTGCATGATGCTGAGCCCTCTCGCCCACGTCGTCCGGCGGGCGACATGAGATAATTCTCTTTGGCCAGCCGTCGTTTGATTTTGATTTTCAGCCACTGAGAACTTCAGATGGAAGGGTTACGAAAGCACCGCCGCAGCCAAAGAGTAATAGCCTTTCCGTCCTCCAACATTGGATCATCCCAGTCCATGACATGGGGAAATTTTTGGACGGCCAAGTTTTGCGGTCTCGGCTTTTCGGCGTGGCAGATATGATGGAAATGCTTCGCCAATGGCATTTCAAGTAACTTCGCTCCTTCGGGGCCAAACATCGTGTCCGTGGGGATGACTCGCGGGGGTCTCCGGCCGTGACGCCGTTTCTCACAGCCAGATGTCGACTGCCAGATCTACTTAGACGGTTTTCGGAGCTTGATAGAAAATAACGGAACGAAGACAAGAGCCTTCAGTGCCGGAAGCAGCTACTGGCTGGTCAGATGTCGTTCGCAGTCAGGGGAGGGGTGCGTTGTCCAAGGGGGTATTGTCGCTGAGCGAGACAGTCGCAATCCCGCCTTTTTGGATTCGTTTCCCAGCTCTCAAGCTTTATTTTTGATGGTATTTTGGCAGAAGAATGGCGGAGCCCAATTGGGATCTTAGCGGTACCTCTTGCACGCTCCGGGCGTTTGCGTAACCGTCAGCTCCCGTCTGCAAGTCGTCCTCTGTCTCCATTTTCGGCAATTTGAAGTTGAGATGCCCAGCGTGTCAAATACTTGATTGGAGTGTCCGCTAGACCGTATCAAAAGAGGAGGATGCGAGATTGGATGGGGGAAAGCTTTGCTGATTAGAAGAAGACGGTTTGCGGTTACACTTTCCCCGCGCCTGTTGCCCCCAGTCCATCGCGCACCCCGAGCGTAGGCATGTTAAGCCGAGTAGCCATCCAGTGGGTTGACATCGATATTCTTGGGGAAACCACATGGGCCAGCTATGACGACACTGACCATTGCATCTGGTGGGCTTCGCGACATCAAGGCTTTCTGACGCCCTGAATCACGATGTTTGCTATTAACACGAGGCAGCAGAGCTTCGGCTCTTGAGGCCCGGTTCGTATGCAGTGCCTTACGAACTGCACTCGCGATGGATGCAGGGCACCGGCGCGCTCTGCACCACTGCGGGCGTTACAGGGGAACGTTGCCTTGCCAGGCTGACCTGGGCTAGACCAGACCTAAGGCACTCCACATTGCCAACAATAGAAGCCTCCACAAGTGCTCGAAGGAAGGCAAAATCGGTTCCTTACGTCAAGACTCTTGTTGTCGAAGCTTCGCCGCCACTGTCAACTGTCGTCGGAGGTTTTCCGACTATACATCAGTCCGGCTATAGGCCGGAGCTATGGTGAGAAGCTGGGATGGTGCGGGCTCGAGTGGGATCCCGCAAGCGAGCCCCAACTCAATTTCAAGAGGTCTAGGTCCGGCAAAACATGGTGATTCGCCAAACGGTAAAGTCTAATGTCTTTCGTCCAGGAAGTCTTTTGCTGCTTGCGACGCTGAATGGGCCTGTGCTCGTCGGAAGCACTTTTCAGCTCGCCAGGTCCCAGGGGAGTTATGTCGAGGTTGAGGAGAGGGGAAACATGGGATTGTCATATGCCTCGAATTCGGTCAAGCCCCTCTGGATCAATACCCCTCATATCTGAGGATGGACGCACAGGAGACACGGGGTCGGTGTGCGCTGAAGAAATGTGCATATGGTACCGAGTCAATCGGATTATCAAGCAACTAAGTGACCGTGTTGCCAACAGCAATCGTATATGTTGGAAACGTGAAGACCTAGATCTTGTGGGCAGTACGGTTCCATGCGCAATGGCAAATGTTCCCAGGCCCGAAGCCGTGGAATTCCGCCGCACTAGTGGCCCTAGAAGTCGGGTTGCAACGTGCGGTGGTGGCTGCGGGTTGAGCTTCCCACCAATCGGAAACTCTAGGTGCTCATTCGCGGCATTGTCTCTGTGCCGACTTGCTGTGATATGGGACAATTTGGCCCCCAAGCGATAAAGTCGAGTCTGAGTCTATGTTCGTTAAGCAGCGCACTAACGTCCTCGATCACTGAATGATCCGCGGTCGCGCCGTGCCTAGGTAGCTGGTCCTGAATTGCTATGCTTAAGCTCGTCGGTTGGACGCCGATGATCGTTTCCGCTCCGTCTCGGATCTGGATCCTGGCCGGAGCCCGAGCTCCGATAATGAAACTCCACACCGAAGCACCCCGAAGTATTATTTTTGGCAGTAACGGCGTGTACAACCAGCGTCAGACTCCGCAACATCTTTATCAGGCGCCGGATCTTTGGAAGGCGTCCAAGTGCTGTTGGCCGTTCACCCATCCGGCCTCTTCTTCTGCCTGCTTTGGGCCATACAGCCCGTGTCAAAGGAGTTGTCCGGAGCAGCGTTCCCGGACATTCTGATGCCAGCGTACCCAAACCATATCTTACTTCGAGCACAACGTACGAACGTTCCAATGGCATCGTCGAGTCTGTTTGTCATGCTGCATAAACTAGTGCTGTTAGCGTCTCCATATCCCCTGCAGCCGAAATTCTGGGCGTTGGCCCCCGCTGTACGAAGACAGCTGGGCTGATCTGGCCCCCAGTATGCAACACCACTGTCGATAAATCGTCAGGTAGACCGTACCCGTGCCCGGCGCTGATCTAGCCATTCAACAAACGCGGATCCTTCATTCTGGTACTGGGTGGTGGGCCGGTATGCAACCGGAGCGGGAACACTCAGGTTGGAAGCCAAACGCTTGATTCTATTTTAATGTCTTCTACCACTGCACTTGAAGTGGGCAGTGGACTAGGCAGTGACGCAATCATGGAATCCGCTTCTCGGTGCCAGGCGTGGCATCGTGAGCCTTTCCAACTATCGAAACGAACCCTAGCTATGCCAGGGTGTAGTCGGCCTGCAACAACTGTCTTTCGGCAGATTCAATGATTTGAGCGTATGTTGGACGGCAAGCAGCTGCATCTCTGTTGAAGTCCTATCCGTAGAGGGGACATTGTGCTCGGCCAAGCTTAGACACCGCCAGTCGAGTGGAACTTCCTTCGCAATGCCGGAGCCGAGCCTGCCGTCAGGCTCAGGCCGTTGTTTGCTCTGCATTGAATCGACGAGTTGCGCGGGGACAAGTTGAACACCGCCATAGAGTTCAAGGTTGTTCATCTTGCGGTGGGTCTGTTGACAGTTGGATTCAAGCTTCTGCTCAGTCGTCAGCCTCAGTGACGTGCCATGCATGTTGCGTGGATATCCATAAGACTGGACAAGAGACACTACGTCTCGTTTTCTCAACTTTCGTATTTGACAGACGCAGTAGGAAAGCTCCCGTCATCCCGTCGACTGCAGCTGTGCCAAGTCGTAAAGGCCGTGAAATGCCCGACGTGTTTGCAACGTCTGGAGGCTGAGCAGTGGTGACGAAACAGCGTGAGTCTCTTCCCCATCACAATCAACCAAAGACCCCGCTTCTGGTTGTCATGTTAAATTTGACCGGCCCTCATATCCGAAAATCTGATCAGAATCGCACTGTATAGTCGGCAACATCGAGCCAGATTGTAAGAGATGCTGCCCAAGCCCTGTGGTTTCGAAAGCGCCCCCAGCAAAGGGACTTTTCCACGGAAAACTTGAGAAGGGGCTCGATTGCATCGACTCCCAAACCTTTCCGCTTCAAGGTAGAGCAATCTGGGATTGATCTTGATGCTCTTTCCGAAGATAGAAAATACTGCTGCCTGGAACAGTGCCTGCAAAGAGCCAAGTTGAGTTGTGGGACTATCAAGACAACCTTAGTCTATGCAAGTCGTGTAATCTCCGGATGGCTTGTCAGACATGACGGTGGCCGAAAGCACTACCGTCCCGATCCAGCAGCTGCGTGCGATTCCGACTCCGAGAAGCCCCAGCTTGTGAAGATCCATTCTCCAGGCAGACACAATTGACACCCATCAGCCGACATGCCTAGCAATATTAGCGGTGGCTGGTTGTCTTGCATTCTGGACGGGCCAGACTTGTCCCCGCAACAGCTCAACTATTTTCTAAAAAGGGTAATTTTTACTGAGCGCCATTGCTGGGGTGCTGGGATGATAATGCAGGGAAATGGACCCATACTGTCTCTGCGTCCGCTAGCATGCCGAGCCGCTAGGGCCCATCATGTCATTGGCGAGAATCGACTTGGAGTCCGCGTGGGGTTGTGATGACGGCACGTAGCGATGAATATCCGATGAATCGTGACGGCAACGGCCTTTGGTTTTGAAAGAGTCATGCATAGGTCCTTTGCTCTTCACACACGGCACAACTCCTTGGGTCTAATGTCGCCGAGAAGGTGGAGCAGGGGAACCAGGCATGGGTTCCGCCAACTTGGAGCAGCCTTCTGCGCGCCCTATGTCGAGATTGGCACCTGATTGTCAGGAACTGCAGTTGTAAGAACTCCTGCTCTGCAAGAATCATGCAAAGGTGGTAACTCTGCGTTGAGGCGAACGAATCTACGTCCAGTTGACTCCACTACTGGCCCCCAGGCTCGGCGTGCTCTCCACGGTATGACCTGGTGAGCGGTCGCTCGAACAAATTCTTTCCCAGCTTGCATACACCTTTTTCAGAGATTAGATCGCGGCGAGTCTCAGCTGAGTAGCGCTCATGTCGTCACAGATCCTCGTCAACCATGTACTTGCTCCCAACTGTGGGAAGGTAGGAGCAGCCCACCAACTATTTTCGACCCACAATTGCATGTGCCTTGTATTGAATATGAATCCGTAGAGTTGAGTAATGGCGTAAAAGCTGGTCCCTCACAGGGTTCTTCTAAATGTAGCCTTATGCAGGGTCCTTGCGGGCGTGAGCGGGGAGATTTTGTGCCGTTGCGCGGTTTTGTGGTTGAGCCCATCCGATTCAGATTTTGGGGTCTCGCAAATCCGCGAACAGAATCGTCGAAATGAAAGACTACCGTCCCGACACCACATCAGAGCTTCTGTAGTCCAGCCTCAGCTTGGGCTACGCCAGGTTCGAAGCCAATCTTCTTGCTCATCTCTATAGCCTGTTGGAAGCGTTTGCGAGCGTCAGTCTTGTTGCCTAGCATTGCAGCAATGCCACCCATGTTCGTCAGGGCAACTGCGCATGCTTCATCGCACTCCTCTGTACGATCGTCTCCCTTCACGTCTTTCGCGTGTGAGTAAGCATTGTGGGCCCAATTCTTTGCCGCCTCCAAAAGTCCTGCCCGATCTGTTGGCATGTCGGGACTGAAAAGGACATCAGAAGTTGAAGGAGCTCCAGAAATAGTCTCGAGAGATGCGTGCGTGGGATGTTGAGCAAAAGCCACGGCCAGGTTGTTCACTGTAGTGGAAAGTCAGCAACACGATTGCATTCTGGTGGGCCATATCCGAAGGACGACGCACTTATTGTAACTCGATGACAAGGGTCGGCACACAGACGCAGGGCGTGGAAGAAGAGAGGCACAGAGAGTTGAAATTGGGATTTGGTCTCGTAGTGATTGGCCAAGGCTTAGGAATGCAGTTAGCAAAGTGTGGTCTGCGAGCAATGATTCCAGATGAGGTTGAGGGCGATGAGACTCACATTCCATGGCACCACCGATTTCCTCCGGGCTCATCCAGGCTCCCTCCTCCTTCTTGACGCCCTCCTTATGGCGTCGTCGGGCTTCTGACAGTGCAGTCTCTACAGCCCAAGTCAAACGAGCCTGCGCATTGTCGGGCTCCAAGACGTGCTCGTCGGAATACAGAGCTCCGAGCTTGGTGCTGGTGCCCACAGCTTTCGCGAGGAGTCTTGTGCGCTTGTGCCACAAGTTCTCGGGGACCATCTCTTCCTCGTCCTCGACAACGGTTGGGCGTTGATCTTCGGACAATACCCTGACCGCAGCCGGTTTTCCGGACTTATCTACCGTGCCCTCTGCAATAGATTTCTCGAACCACTCCACCCACTTGGTACAGTCATCCATAACAGAGTTGAGAACAAGAATGGCTCCTTGGTAGTTGCCAATCTTCTCCAGCCAAGCAGCGGTCTGGATTCTGATACCCAGGACATCATCAGAGAACAGGTCCAACTGAAGCTCATTGCATAGCTCGAGGGCTTGCTTATAGTATTTCTTCGCCAGGTTTGCATCGGGGCTGATGTTCGTATAGTAGAGTGCTCGTCTGAGGGCCTTTGCGATTGGTGGAGGGTATTTGGTGAACTGTCGGGCTTGGAAATAGTCAAAGTACAACTTGACAATGTAAACGGCAACACCGGCCAAGCCTGCCAGGCTAGAAAGTTGTCAGACATGGTCCCTCAAGTCACTGCTCACGGGGAACACGAGGTAGCTTACATTGTCAGTGCTAGTGTCAGCTCTTCTGGGCTTTCCTTGAATAGTTTCTTCATTCCCCGCGGTGTCAAGGCGCTCATGAGATTGCGAAATGACATTAATCGCCATAAGGATCGTATTGGAGGGGGCGGAGGCGGGGATTTGGGATCCGTGCTCTTCTTGTTCGCATTGCTTCGTGGAGGCTTCGCCGTGCTGTTTTGTCTCGATTGAACGTTCCTCAGAGCATAGAGTGTGCTCGAGGGACCTCTGGCACGAGTTGTGGCTGTTGATACCGTAGACAATCGAATGGCTTGACCAAAGCAGACGCGATCAATGGCGCGGGACGCCGTGATGCGGGCAGCCGCCATTGTCGCGGATCTCGAAAATATGCTTCTTCGCCGATTGTTGTTGATTGAATCCAAAGCATGCGCGTCGATGCGGGATTGGGTTGGCGGAGTTGACGTTGCAGAATGTGCCGAATGTGACGTATTGGATCAAAAATTCACGAGGCAAATGGTCGTCGCATGGGAAGGACCCAGAGCTCAGTGTTCCTGCTCATGTGGATTTGGTGGAGAAACGCGCAGCCAATGGGAGATGACCATTTACGCCGAGGCAACCCCCCACCCGGATCGTGGGGAAGCTCCTTCAGCATTAGAGGGGCAAATGTCGAGCTTGATCCCCCCCCCCATCTTCCTCACCTGTCAAACCAGCTTGTTGTTGCCGTCTTCCGATCAAACCAATACAACTACTTATCATCAGTGCGAAAACATTCAGTTTCTCTCATCCAAAAATCAAACAAGAAATGTCTGGAAAGTTTGAGCCCAAGACCCCGGTCGAACTGGCCCCTCCCAAGGACGATCCCATCACTCTCGAGGAGCTGGCTAAGGCTGATGGTAAGTGGCAGAATGGGCCGACTTATGTTTTTCGTTTTCAAGGAACATCTCGTATCTCCATGTTGCGAGAGAGAACATCGCATCTTGAGTGATCATTGACCGCACCCGTTGAGGGGTAGTCCGTAACCCAATGCCAGCAGACCGCTTCTTCCCAGCACAGCTCAGATGTTTGCCTACAGCGGACATGTGCCTTCGTTTGGTTTTTTTATATCTCCACGGCCTCGCAAACTCCGTACCAACGAATTTCGCATATGGAACCCATGTATTCTGCGTCATGTACGGGAGTGTACTAATCTCATGTTTCCTAGGTTCCGACCCCAACGGAAAGACGTACGTCGCGATTAAGGTAAACCGACAACTATTTCTCCAGCAATGACGCACATTTCTCACTCAGTTTCTAGGGTGTTGTCTACGACGTCACTGGTAACAAGGCATACCAAGCCGGCGGATCCTACAATGGTAAGGATTCTCACACTCGGTATATGGATGCATGCTGACTCTCATTTAAAGTGTTCGCTGGAAAGGACGCCTCTCGTGCTCTGGGAAAGACCTCAACAAAGGCCGAGGATGTTAGCGCCGACTGGTCAGATCTTTCAGACAAGGAGAAGGGCGTTCTGAACGACTGGATCACTTTCTTCTCCAAGCGTTACAATGTCGTCGGCCGTGTTGCTGGGGCTACCAACACGGAATGAATCTTGGGGAGGGGAGAGGAGAATTGAGTCAAAGCTATGAGGAGTTCACGGTGGGGAAGGCAGAGATATCCTTCATCATGGTATGGGCATGATCGGGAGCAAGTGTAGACCTAGTCAGTTCTCAGCCCAAACATGCTCCAATGACACCGTGTTAAACTTGGTACGATTTCAATGCCCTTTTCCCACTCCTTCTTCATCCTCTTCAACTGGCTTCTTCCCCATCTCCACGTTGAATGGCGCACCGATTCCAATCTCTCACCTAACAGCGATGCAGTTGAACGTCACCCCCTCTTACGGGTGGTCGTA